AGAGAGAGAGAGAGAGAGAGAGAGAGAGAGAGAGAGAGAGAGAGAGAGAGAACAGTTTGCTTCACCTGAACCTGAAGAAAACTGAAATTTAAACAAACACCAATTTACAAACAACTCTTCAATCAAACTTCATTTTCCCCCCATTTCTTTTATAAATATGTCCTAATAACAACAATATCCCTCTAAATTCTCATATAAAAATGCCTTCAATGAACTCTTTCAAATTTCTTCTCTCTCTATAACTCTATTCTCTCTCTCTCTCTTCTGTACATTCCTTCAATAATTTGCTTTCTACTGGTTCTCAATCTTCAACAATGTCTGATGGAAGGTATCCGGATCAGTTGGTCAGCTTGGGAATGGACCGAGACGAGACGCCATGAAGGAGCTTAACAAAGCCGAGGAAGCTGAGCTTTCCATCAGAATGCCTTATCCAGTCTTGAAGAACAACGTGGACCGGTACCGAGGGTCCGAGCCCGAGCTCCTGTTGAAGGAAGAAGAAACGAGCACGGAGTGCAGAAATGTAAATAAATGTTTGTTCGGGCATTTACATGCATACCGCATGCATGATTCTTATGTACTTACATATCTATCTAACACGTAAACATTTATGCTTGCATGTCGACGCTCAAATCATATAAAAATACCACCTTTACCGCATTCATAGGTTTATGACACCGAAGTATTGTAAGTGTACATATCAAATTTTGGGCGGTAGATATGTAAATATCATGCATAGGTTTATTAGGTTTATAACACCAATGTGTTATAAGTGTAAATATCAAATTCAAACTTTCGGTGTTAAATGTGTAAATACAGAAGAATTGTGTAAATACAGAAGAATTGTGTAAATACATTTTTATCGCGGAAATCTTTTATATCATATAAAAAAATATCACTATTTTCAGTTTTAAAAAGAGTGAGACGAGTTTTCATGTACGGGTAAGGTGGCATTTATGTAAAAAATTAACGTATAGATGTTAGATATGTAAATAGATAGGAATTGAGTGGTATATATGTAAATCATCCATTGTAACATTGTAGAGAGAGTAAATGATCAAGATAATTTATGGAATTATTAGATTTGTTTGCTAGGGCATAATGATCAAGATGATTCATGAACTTTTTAGGTTTGTTTGTTGGGACACTTATATAAATACCACATAATTCTTATGTATTTACATATCTGACACCTAAAAATTCATATTTACATGCATACCACTCAAATACCATCACACTGCGTTTTTAAAAGTGAAAAAGGGTGATTATGAGATTGTAATTTAAAGAGTGGTTAAAATGTTATATTTAAAGTTTGGCTGGTTAAAATATTATTTCTAGTGTTTTGATTGGTTGGTATGTAAAAACCGATATAAACAAAAGTAGCTCACCGAAGCGAGTTCCTCGATCATTATAAGCCTATTTCCGTCCTTCTCGAACAGTTCGTATCCGCGACGAGCATGTTGCTCCCAACAGTCCAATGCTTCGAGTTGATGAACACTGGTCGAGGCCGCAACGAACTCCTCAAAGTCTAATTTCTTATATTGAATGGAACTTACCTACATTCATAAATAATTTGAGGTCAATAATTAACAATTTGGGGTGGGTCTAAGATATAAAATCAATATTTGAATCATACCATATTAACAAAATCAAGAACTTTCGAATCCCTCATAGCTTCAGTTGAGGTCTTCAGCAAAGCCTGTGTATGTTGCTTTGATTTATATTATATATCACAATGCAAATATGTTTATAATATAAGAATAACTGAAATGAAGGGCATTTACACATATGATACACAATTCTTATGTATTTACATATCTAACATCTAAATTTTCATATTTACATACATGCCACTAAAATCTTTAAAATCACATTACAAAAAAAAACCATTTTTACTAACTTTTTAGATGTAAAATACACATTTTCATGCCAATGTTTATGACACCAAAGTTTATAAAGTACACATTTTGATGTATTTACATATCTAACATATAAATTTTCATATTTACATACACAACACTAAAATCATTAAAATCAAACTAAAAAAAATACCATTTTAACTAACTTTTTAGAAGTAAAATACACATTTTCATGCATATGTTCATGAAACCAAAGTGTTATAAATCAAAAACCACAGTTTAGGGGTTAGATATGGAAATATATAAGAATTGTATGGTATATATGCAAATTTCCCTAAGAAGAGAATTACCATTTTGAAGTTTTGGAAGGAGATGAATCCACTCTTGTTGGGCTCAAGCAGAGCAAATTGTTCACGCAGATAAGAAAGCTGTGACACTGTCAAAGTCTTTGCCAGCGCCTGTCAAATTGACAGAATATCATTCAGTAAAATTTCAGTAAACAATATATAAATCCAATAAATTGCAGAAAAAATAAAAAAAAAAGTTATGTGGATGGATAGGAAGTGGTGTAGAATCATGCATACCATATAATTCTTATATATTTACATATCTAACAACTAAAATTCAATTTTTACATACATGTCAGCATTTCCATGCATGAAAAGATGTTGTATTTTGCTTTTTTAAAGTTAAAATTGTGGTATTTTGGAAGTGACATGAAAGACTTAAATGGTATAAATGTAAAAAAGTAATGTTTATGTGTTAGATAGGTAAATGCAAGGAAATAAATGTTACATCAGGACTTTGCACATAGATTCACGTGTGGAGTCCAATGAAATTACGCCGTGTAGGTGATCGACCCGGTAACAAGGGAATATTCCCCTCATGTTGCTCCGTGTTATTAAGGTGTTATTGTATGTTATTCAGGTGTTACTGTGTTCTGGGAATATTCTTAGTGTTATAATAACACAATAACACATCAATAATACTTGAATAACACACAATAACACCTGAATAACACGGGAGGAATATTTCCTTGTGTTACCAGACAGATTTTTGTTCTACGTAGCGTAATTTCATTGTACTTCGCACGTAACTTTACATGTGGAGTCCTGATGCTATATTTGCAGCATGTATGCAAAAGTCCCCAAAGCATATCAACAAAAAGGTGCATTTTACAGTAAAAATAATAATAATAATTTTGATGTGATGTTAGATATGTAAGTGCTATATATATAATGTTTGGTTGTATATGTAAAAATAAATAAAAGCTATGTGACATGTATGTAAACCCCACATCTAAACTATTACTTTTTAGAACTAAGGAAATTGACACATAACCTCTGAAACATTTCAATAATTACATCTCATAAACTGAAGGCATCTGAAAAAATGACAATGTTTTAAAAAAAATCAAATAATAGCAAAACATCATTAAAAGTAAAGGAATTTACAATGTTTTATATCAGGAGGTATAAATGTAAAATGTAAAATAAAAGTGAAATAAGTACTTGTAAAGATTAAAACTAACCCTTAGTGCTGATTTCCTCAAAGGAGATGAATAAACATAAGCTTTTGCAAGCTTAAAAACCAACATGTCCAATGGGCATTTAACCACTTCAAACTGTTGAATCCAAGGGTGACCTGTTGCCATAATTACTTTAATTACTGACAAATTCATTTAGAAAATAATGAACAAAATAAATATTTTACATATTTACCATATTTGAATATGTTAGACCAACATATCCATATATCTAAAATATGGATATGTTGGTTTTAGACTTTTAAGTTAATGCCATTAATTTAAGTTGGTATTTACATACAAACCGCCCGAAACTTTCTATTTGCAAATCAACTATCATTTTTCATCCATTTTTCAAATTCTCACGCAAATATCAACATTCACGGTAAAAGCCCGACCCATACTTTTCACTTTTAATCAAAGTCTCAATGGTTTGATCATGACAAATGTAAATACATAAGTTGGGTAGTTCATAAATATCACCTGGGCGGTTAATTTGAAAATATCGAAGTTTCAAGTGGTATGTATCGAATAATCCCTTACTATTAAGATTGAGCCTTAGAAATCCAAAATCCACATAAAAAAAACTTTCCTCCATCAATCTTGGCACAAGTAAAATCAAATTAATTCAAATTAGACCACCTAAACTTCAATTTTACACGAGTACTGCCTTCCTTATGCATAAAAAGGTGTATTCAACATTTTAAAAGTCAAAATGGAGTTATTGTTCATGCCACATGAAAGATGAAAGATTTGGGTTGTATAAATGTAATAAATAAAGTTTAAGTGTTCGATATTTCAATGCATAAGAATTGGTTGGTACATACGTAAATGCCCTGAAAATAAATTTGGAACTTACTCAGCGCCTGAACGGCCGTCATTCTTTTACGGAAATCCTTATTCAATAACCTCTTCACAAAATCTTTGGCTTCAAAAGACAATGACGGCCACGGAGCTTCGTCGAAGCTCGGTTCGGCCTTCAACACCGCTCGAAATATGCCGGACTCGGTTCGAGCCCAAAACGGTCGACTTCCGCATAGAAGAATATACGAAATTACGCCTATACTCCACATATCCGCTTCGGTGCCATATGATCTATGAAGAACTTCAGGGGCGACATAATACGCACTTCCCACGATATCATTTAATCTTTCATCTGCATGACAGTATAGTTCAAAAAAAAATTATTATAAAAAATGATAAAAGTTAAATAAATTCTAAATTTACAAGTCTAACCTGGTTTAATAAAGTCTGACAAACCAAAATCTATGGCTTTCAAGGTTGCATTCTCATCTTTTGAAGTAAAGAGAAAGTTCTAAAGAAGAAACAAAAAGAGATTGAGAATAGAGTAAGTTGAGAATAGAGTAAACAATAAAAAAGGGGATATTACATACAAATTGCCCAAAACATTGTTATTTACAAACTAAACCCCAAAGAGATTTTTTTTAAACTACCGAACTGATGTTATTGTGCATGCCACGATCAAACTATTGAGAATTTGATAAATGGATGAAAGAGTGGCTGATTTGTAAATAGCATGTTTCAGGTGTCAGTATGTAAGCATTTAGAAAACATACATTTAATCCAAAAAAAATTCATGTATTCAATTTAGTATAACAACTTATCAAATAAAAGTCGTTTTGGTCATTCGGTCAACTTCGTAATTTCTTTGGACTAGAGTTGGTATAGAAAGATCTCCAATAAGAGTATTTTAAACTTCTTAGGTGTTCCTTTCATGCTTTAATATCGCGAAAATAAATTTAGGAAAATTTACACACAAAACACTGAATTCTTATGTATTTACTTATCTAACATCTAAAGTTTGATTGTTACGTACATACCGTCTTATCTATGTTTGAAAAAAATGTATTTCACTTTATAGAAGTTAAGATTGTGGTATTTATTATGTGATATAAAAGCTTTGAGCGGTATAAATGTAAAAAAGTAGGTGTAAGATATGTAAATATATAACAATTGATGATATTGATGAGTTGAGGGATTATATCTCAAAAAAGTCTACGACTTACATCGACACATCTAAAAGATTTAGATGATCATTTCAATCATGAGAAATTTACATACATAGCACACAATTCTTACATATTTACATATTTACAAAGTTTGGTGCTTTAAATTTATGAATGTGTATTTCACACTTAAAAAGTGCTAACGTTGCTATTTTTGATGTGATATTAAAGACTTGAGCATTGTATGTGCGTAAAAATAAAAGTTTAGATGTGAGAAATGTAAATACAAAAGAATTGTGTGCTATGTATGTAAATGCCCCTTCAATCATTCATTCATTGAGAAAACGAGCTATACCTCCGGCTTGAGATCTCGATGCACGACGCCCTGAAGATGACAGAAGGCAACGACATTTAGAATTTGGATTAGAACAACCTTAGCATCATCTTCTGAGTATTTACCTCCCCTAACATCAAACACAAAATACCAATTCATAACAAGAACATCATCATCAACATTAAGCTCAAACAAATAAAATTAAAATTTACTTCTATATAAGTACGTGCATAGTTAACCACACCTCGAAAGAATTCTATCTAACAATTCGCCGCCTCTGCACAACCTGAAGAATTAACGAAAAATTACGATAGGTTCTCCAAAAACAAGCAAATTTTAAGAAAACTATAGGACAACATCAATAATCCTAAAATTTCACAAAATCTAGTTTTGTAAGACGCAAAATCTCAATTGTAAGTACCACAATACTAAAATATTACTTGAAAGTTTATCTCCTTTGTTTAAGTAAGGAAAGAGGCATTGGGTGATTATAATATTAAAGTGCCAAAAAGCTCATAAAATAAATAAAATTTTATGTAATCTAATCACCATATGGATACAAGAGCATTATAAAAAGCTAATATAATATCTATAATAGCTGGAATTTTTTCTTTTTTTATACGAGCAATTACATACAGACCATCCGAAACTTGCTATTTACAAATCAACTAATCTCTTCTATCCATTTTTCAAAATCTCACCCAAACATCAAAAATCATGGTTAATTTGTAAAAATCAATGTTTCGGGTGGTCTGCATGCAATTAAAAAGAAATAGAATAGAACTTACTCCATTACTACATAAACATTATCTTCATCCTCATAAGCATCATAGAATTGCACTAGATTTTTATGTCCGGTGAGAGAACTCAAGATTCTCACTTCTCTTCTCACATCTTCAATGGCAATAGCTGTTGTCATCTGCAAAGCAAAATAAAAAAAGTATGCAATATGCAATTAAAAAGTTTATGTACATACCACCCAATTCATATGTTTTACAAATCTCGCACCTAAATTTTAATTTTTTTTCCATTTATACTGCTTGAATCTTTCATGTCACATAAAAAATATGACTATTTTAACTTTTAAAAAGCGAAATACATATTTTCATGCATAGGTAAGGGGGTCTTATATGTAAAAAGTGAAGCTTAGCTGGTAGATATGTAAATACATGAGAATTGTGTGGTATGTATGTGAATCCTCCGTGGTATGTATGTGAACCCCCCTATTTAATTTTCTTTTCCAAAAAAAAAAAAAAAAATTTAAGAGAATTAAGGTGTAAAGCTAATTTTTCTTAACACCCGAACTTTGATTATTTACACTTATGCCCCTTGGTGCCAAAAACCTATGCATTCACTTTTAAAGAGACAGAGGTGGTGGCATTTTGAATGTGTACATGAAAGTATAAATGTTTAGTTGTTAGATATGTAAATACATAAGAATTGTGTGGTATTTATATAAATACCACTATTTCTTAATACTAAGATGATAATCTCTCCCTCCCTCCCTCCCTCCCTCCCTTTCTCTCTAAAAGTGCTTATGAAACAAGAATCAACCCTACTCCATGCACAAAGAAAACTCAAGAGCAACAAATTTCTTTTCAATCATTTGCATTAATCATAAAATTCTGAATTGCAGATATCATCTTCAACACAATAAGACCCAAAAATAAACTTGAAACACACAAATGGAAAAAGAAAAAAAATTAGGACCAAAAATCCTCCTGGTTATGGCATTGATTCAAAATTTTAAAAAATAAAATTTTTCCAGCAAAACCAATAGAATTTCTCGCATAACAATTCAAATCATTTCATGTTTCCCTCAGTTAGATTCAAGAAATTCCCAATTGAATCAATCACAGATCCACCTCAAACAAAATTCATCAAAAAAAAAAAAATGAAAGAAAAAAATTCAAACCTTGGCCTTTGGGATGACCTTAACGGCTACCTCCTCCCCCTTCATCTCCCCTTTCTTCACCTTCCCCAAACAAGTAAACCCAAAATGACCTCTCCCCACCTCTTCTCCAAGCTCAAACTTCACCACAAACTGCTTCGCGAATCCAAAGTTCTTATCAAGCCCTAATTCCACCTCGCTCCCTTCAGGAATCGAGCTCTGGTTAGGTTTCGCCGGAGCTTGCCGGCGAGCCAGCAGGGCCTTAATGTGCTTCGCCGGCGATGGTGGAGGAAAGGGTCTCTTCAATAACCTCAGCGGCGTTGAGCTCACACTGGAGTTCGCCGGCGAGCCTTTGTAAGAACCCCATAGAGGACTGGGGCTGTAGAAAGGGAACTTGGAGGGCTTTGGGGTAGATGGATTTGGTGGATCTGGTTCCTCATATTTAGGAGCTGTGGGGCTTTCTGCTCGGCTTTGTTGTTTTGTGTCTGGTTTGCAGAGGCACAGACCCATAGAAAACGGAGCTGAGCTTGGATTTGCAGATCGGAGTAAGGAGAAATCACGGATTTTTTTTCAAGGTTTCATGATTGAAAGCTTAAATCCTGAACAGCAACTGAACAATAAGCAGAGAAATTTGAAAATCAAGTAAAAAAAGCATTTTTGTGCGATTAAGAGACGAGCAAGAGAAGAAAGCAAAGATCTTGAGAGGAACTTCTGAAAGAGAATGGAGAAGATGAAGAGAATCAGAATCAAGGAGGAGGAGGAAGGAGAGGGGTTAAGGAGTGAATAAAAAAAAAAGGGAATAGGAAAAAGGAGGCAACTTTAGCCTTCTCTTTGCCTTTTTTGATGTATTTCTTTCAGGATTGTTTAAGAAGGCATCAGTTCTTTGTAATTAGAGAGGAAAAACCCAAACTTTTTACAAAATTGCGAGATGGAAGGAGATCATCAATGCTGATGCTACCATCCTCACAGCCTGTAATCTTAATTGTGAAAATAACATTAAAATTATTTTAAGAAATTTTATTTTTTGACAAGAGTTTGCTTCTATTCTGGTTGACTTCTTCTCATTGAATTGACAAAAAAATGTTTTTTTTTTTTTAGGATTTGAGTTTATTTTATTAAGTATTTAGTTGCATTAAAACTAATGGGACAGTGAAGAATTCATTGCACTTCTTCAGAAACACATGTGAATTGCTGACTAATTAATTACTTCGGCTGCATAACTTTGATGGTTGTTGGTTGTGGACCACCTAATCTTCATTAAACGCATTAGATTAGACGAATTATTAATGAGGTTTTATACCTATATAGTCTGTTTTCTTATGACATTAAGTGGGAGTACCTCTCCTTACACACTGTAATTTTTTTTTCTTAGAGTTCATTAAAAATGGTGTTTATAATTCTAAGGTTTCAACCTTCATAAGATCTCATGTTACTGCAATCGCAGAACACCGTTGGCCACCATTCATGGGCAGTCGTCAGTTCCTTGCATTGCACAAAGTAACAACTAAAGTCACGGAAACACGAACTAGCCTATGAAGCGGTGAAACATCCATAACGCCATATCAACCTTGAAGACGGTGCACTGAAGCTCCACGTGTCACTCCTAGCTACGACCACTCTCTACCTCGGGGCAGCATGTTCTTCTGTGCCACAAGGTTGTAACTTAAGAAAAATGGTAATCATTTCTTGCTCATGGGACAAGGGGGTTATACTTGTAATCACTAACTCGTTCTGGAATATTTCAATGAGATAAGGACCTGTGATTTTTTTTTCTTTCTGCGTTTTTGGCATAAAAATTTGTGATATCCCTATTGGTTATGTTATTTCATCTAATTGTGTGTTAAATTCTCATTAAACGCTAAAATAATAACTCGTTACTCTATCATCATTAATTTTCTAGCACTCATAAGAATGCATGTTACTACCTTTTTTAAATTAAAATATATATTTGTATGTGTATGTTTATGACATTGATATGTCATATGAGTATAAATAACAATATTGTTAGGGTTAGATAGGTAAATACATAACAATTGTTTGGTGTGTACTAAATTTTCCTAATTAAAATAGATAGAACAGCACAACTGCATGATTAAGGTTTGGGCGACTCTTGTTGAGAAATTGGCTTGATATTAAATACACTTTCACATGCAAAAGAATAACTATTTTCTTAGTCCTATAACTAATCTATTATTTTAAATGGGTTTAAAATTGAATAATGCATGTGTTACGTATTTTACCAACCGACCAAAAGCCCGGTTGAACTAGAGGTTGATTGATTCGGAGACCGTTCAGGTAGAGGCTGACCAGCAAGAGGACGATCGGTTGAATATTCCACAATTGCACTTCATGAAACCGATTAATTGGGGGTAGACCGATTAAACATGGACAGGGCGTAATTGCAGTTTCATATTTATTCTAGCTCTCTATAAATAGTGGAGCATTAAATCCATTATATGTTGTCGATAACACATACAAAAATATCTCATCCCTCTGTCATCTCTGTCTGTACATTTCTCTCATTTTCACGCTCTATTTCTTGGGTGTGATTCACAGACATATTAAGATTCAGTAATAATAAATATCATCGATAGACATAGCTTTTAAATAAGAAATAATAGACACATATTTTACCGATCAAAATAATTAAATAATTTTTTTTGGAAATAATACATGTGTTGCATTCTATGACAATATAGTGGGAAAATGTTTTCTAAATATTACACACAAAATTTTCAAACTCAAAGAGGGGAGCACAAAAGTCTAACCTTTACCATAACTCTAAAAAATATAATTAAATTATAAGAAATGTCATGCCAACCACATATGAAGGTGATGAAAAGTATTAGGAGAATAGTGAGGGATGACAATCATAAATGTCAATCAACTACCAAAGATAGTCAATGTGGCATCAATTGGAGATAAATAATGATAGTAGTGAAATGGTAGTAAGAAAAATATGAACAAATAATAATGAAAATTCTTAAATATATATATTTTAATCATGCACGAATATACTCACAAGACGAATCTAACAACTTTAATGTTGGTTCAACCCGAGTCCAATCAAGCCCATATCAGAACCTTTGAGTGCAATTGGTGACATTGGATGGTTTATTGAATGGTCAAATGGATTCCAAATCAGACAAGCTAAGAGTCAAATCGAGCATCCCGGCAAAACGCATCCAATAAGTCAAAGATCACTCAATTTTAAGATCATTAAGACAGCTTAATATCCATAAAATATCATCCAATCAAAAAAATCGCTGTGTCATTTGATTTAGATGTTCAAATTCATGAAGTATTCACTCTCAAAATTTATAAATAGAGCTAACTGAAGAGAATCCTGGATTATGAAGAGAAAGCTGAAGGAGCTCCAAACTAGTGAAGGTTCCTAAACTCCACTAACGTCGAACAGTTTGATCACCATTGCCATTGCTCGACCTAGACAGTTGTTGACACCGGACCACCGTCACCTCCATTGGACTATCAACTGTGTTATTAACTCCACAGCTCGACCATTGTTGCCTAGCATCCACTGCTTCTCAGCTTCCACCACATTAAATCTTATCATGCATATGTTTATGACATCAAGATATAATTTAGAGGATAAATATATAAAAACGCAAGAATTGTGTGGTATGTATGCAAATTTCTTCATTTTTTTGTGATTAGTTCGAATTCTGATCTGTAAATCCAAGCTTAATGACGATTTCAATGGATATATCAATGCCTCCGAAACTAAGAGGAATAAGGAAGAATTACATGCAGAATCCCTTAAAGCTTTCTATGTATTGCTTTCATGGTCCGATCATGAACCCTTTCTATCACCAGATGAAAAAGCTGAAATCATCAGGGGTAGGGTTGTCAAAATGGTTCATTGTTTGCGTACAGCTCATTTTCGGCTCGTTAAGTAGCTCATGTTTGATTCATTCGCTAAGCAAATGAGCCTAACACGAACAATTTTTTTTGGGCGCTCGTTGTATAAACAAATATTTGTTTGTTCGTATACATATGATGCGTGTTAGAAGATTCACAGTGGTAGAATAATGAATTATCTTCTTGGCATTGCACAAGAATTCAACACAGACTCAGATGAAAAAGAACAACTGATAATGACACCAGAAATTTTTACATGGAAACCTCGGAAAAGGGAAAAACCACGGGTTGAACCGTTTCATTGTACAAAGATGATTATAGTTGCAATCACTTATCTCACATATGAGAAAAAGAGTTACTAGATTTCTCATGTTTCAACGTCGACGTGTTGATGAATTTATTGATAGAAACAGACGGCGAACGATAACAATTGACAGTGTCTAGTAGATGGTGAGCAGAGGTGGTTGACGGTGATCAATGACTTTTAGCAGTGGTGATAGAGATTGGCGATGATTGACGACGTTAGGCTGTAGTTGATGGAGATTGGGGTTGATCAACGACGATCGGCGGTGGTTAACGGAGGTTAGTGGTGGTTGACGACTGTTGACGGTGGTCGACCGCAATCGACGACAGTTGCTCGGTGGTGGTGCTAGACTTTAGCTCACTCTTGAAGTTTCAAGTTATTCCTCAAATCTAAAGCTCCCATCCACTGTCATGAGAGGGGCGGGACACTATTTATAGAATTTTGTGTGCAATTAATGCAGGAACCACTTTGATTGGACGGTCCGAAGAGCTTCATTTGATCAGATGACATTTAATGGACACTTGAGTGTCTTAAGGATGTCGGAATTGAGCGATCTTAAACTCGTTGGATTCGTCTTGTCGAGACACTCAATTTGACTATAAGCTCACTAGATTTGACATTCTTTTAACCTTCTAAATATGCTTGAAAAGCTTCCAAAAGTGGTTTAATGGTTTAATCTGAACTTGATTGGCTCAGATTGGACTGATTTTGGTACCATTGGGTCCGCCTAGTTGAGCTGGTCATTTTGACTTTAAGTTTACTGAAATCTAAGCTCTGGATGACTTTCCATTAAAATTTGAATATGTTTTGGTTAAAGGATTGTCACGAGATTGATGCTGAAATATTATTTTAAATAATTTAATTGACTTTGAAGATTTATAATCAATTACAATTATAAATAAAAATGGAGAATAAAACTATATTAAATTCAACTTATCAAAATGTAAGCATTCTTGTACTTCTCGCACAATCTTATCAAAGAGATCAGGGAATCAAATGCATACACAAATAGATCTAATTATTAAAACAAGGTTTCTTATATGGAATATGATACAAAGGCTAGCAAGTTTCACAAAGCTTGTAAGTCCTTGTCAAAAAATCATGCTATCCAGCTTAACTGAGCCCACCTGCTAGAGCGTCTTAACTTGTTTCTTCCATGGGGTGACAGTCTAGCCCATCCAAGGAAGAACAACTATCACAGATGGTCGTCATAATTTGCATTTATGCAAATCCATCCTTCTTTAAAAGTGATGTCTGACGTCCACGTCACAATCATTTCACTATGACGCATTGGATGGGTGCATTACAATATGAATGTATTTTTATTTCTTTTTTTCTTATGTATAAAAGTGAAATCAAGAGCGGAGGGGGACATTCCCTTCCTCCCTCCCTCAATCTCTCACTCTCCCCCCTCTCAGTAAAGAAAAAAACATTGTGGCCCATGAGGTCTCCTCTGAGCCATTGATTCCATCTTACCATAATTTCAAGCGTAAGAAGATCAAACCAGAGACACTTTGTAAAGGATTACAATCATCTATTTCTTTCACATTTCTTCTTAAAACAAAGTTATTACCGAGATATATATACTCATAAACAATACGAGACCCTATATCCTAAAACGATCTAACAATACTACATCTCATTTTACTCTCTGCTCACAAACTTACCCAAGCTATTGTGTTGACCAACATGACCCAAACTATCATGTTGATCATTTCAGGACCCACAACCACTACCATTTTACCCATCTTTTAAA